CTCATACAGCACAAACGTGTGCATAATTAGATATTTTGTGCTCTCCTTAATGCAATTTTGTGCATGCGGGTCAGTTTAAGACCATGATCTGTTCACACTGCAAATCTGATATTGGCCCCATTTATAAGAGCAGTGTGAACAGCCATGCAAAAAAATCCGATCTGAGAAAAAAAATCAGATTTGAGCACTAAGCCTTGCAGTGTGAACGTAGCCTGATGCACACATGCTAAACAACTACTTGGGTTGTTTGTAATCTAATTTGATTATTTGTTCTTATAAAATGTGTTGTTTGCCATGTGTTGTTAATGTAAGTTTGTATTCAGTTTGAGAGAAGTGTTGTAGAAGTGTCTAATTGACAAGCAGCACCCACATGTGTTAAAATTAATCTAAAACGCCAAACAACACCTCTTAAAACGTGTTTTCGGATATATTTGTACATATGTACACTACTGTTATAGGTTTTTTCAAGAACACTTAAGCTGGCTTCAGTTCTTAGTTCTTTCATTTTCATTTTACTTAAAATATGTTTATTTAACATGTTTGCTATTAAGTGCCATTTTTTTATTTAACCTATTATTATAATACAACAGTGAAGTTAATTTGCTATATGAAAAAAAGAAAATAAATTGTGTTTGGCATGCTGCAAAATCATGAATATAGGTCTATATAATCCCCATGCATTTTTGAAATTATACCTTTTTTGCTTTGAGAAGGCTATTCATAAGACCAATTCAAACTTTTAAGAAGTTTTTAAAATAAAATCAGTTGTTTCCTGTATAAAAAAAATAAAATTTTGAAGTAATAATATTTATTTGCTATGGTATATCGGCCTCCAAATCTTTAGAGTTATTAATCATTTGTAAACTCATAAAGTAAGAAGGACAAAATTTAATTATTTATAATATTTAATATTATTAGTATTATTTAATACTTATGTGGTAATTGTGGATTTTTTTGGTAAAATTTCATTTTAATATATTTTTTTAATTATTGCAGCATTTCTGGGAAAAATAGAGACTTTGCTAATCAAAACAAAACAAAAAACAAAGAGAAATTAGCACCATGTGGTTGTAAAAAAACAAACAAAAACTAATGCGAGTTTATGACTCAATTTGTTATAAACAGATGATTGTTTTAAACCAATCTTAAATAAAGGATATTTATTATTTAGCCAGTGTGAATTCAAAAACTGGATAAATCTGTTTTTTTTTTTTTTTTCTTCTTTAAATTGGCGTTAACAAACTGCATGTTAAATTACATTGAACTGTAAAGACATGGGCTGTAAAAATTGTAAAAACTGGCTGTCAATTGATTCGTGATTTATTTGATGTGTCCGAATTCATTTTGAATGCAGCATGACACAGCACGGAATCCAGAGTGTTAAGTATATTTCAAGAAATTAGAATATCATTGAAAAGTTGATCTCTTAATACAATTAAAAAAAGTAAAACTAAAATACTACATTTATTCATTATACACAGACTGATTTATTTAAAATGTTTATTTTAATATTAAATATAATATTACTTAATCTTACAAAAAATAAATAAATACTAATATTTTTAACACAAATACTTTGACTACAGAAAATATGAACATCAGCACTCAAAAAATGGTTAGGCTTTGAAATACTACAAGAACAGCAATCAGTTTGTGCCACCATGAAGCTCTGAAAGCGGCCTTCAGTACTCTCTGGTTTTAATTTTCTGAGATACTCAATTTTAGGTTTTCATTAGCAGTAAGTCATAATCATCTAAATTAAAAGCATAATAAACACTTGAAATATTTCAGTATGTGTGTAATGAATATATTAGGCCTATATAATTTTTACTTTTGAAACATTTTCTGAAACACTTCTGGAATTGAAATCAACTTTTCAATTATATTACAATTTATTGACTCATCTACAAGCTTCAGTATTTCAAAGTATTCTAAATTACTTAGATTAAAGGGGTGGTCCACAGTGTATTTTTAAGGCTTGGCAGTGTTTACAGATGAAATGCAATGTGTACTCATGCTTGACTTGTTGAAAATTACGTTATTTTTTCATATATCTTACTTTGGTTTGCGTTCAGCCAATACACGTTACCTGAGAACAAGTAATAGATGCGAAAGACCAAATTTGGGGAATATGTCGTGATAAATAGACAAGAAGATTAGTTAAATATAGATAATGCAGAAATGTAGATCCTTGAACAGCCTGACGTGCACAGCTCTCATTGCTGCAGTGCATGCCAGAGTGTGTGTGTGTGTGGTCACGTGATGTGTGTTTTCAGCGGTGTAGGTTGGACAGAGAGTTGTTCAGAAATGCTTGATGAAACGCCAGTGTGGACGTGGACCATTTTCATTCTAAAATGCCATTTTAAAACTAAAACAGATTAGTGTAAATGGGGCCTCGCTCACCAACACACTAACTTACTCAAACACTCACTCAGTCACCCACCCACACACTCTTACTGACACTCCCACGCTCGCTCTCACTCTCGTGCTAGCTCACCCGCATGCTCGCCCGCACGCTCACTCTTTCACCCACACAAGCTAGCCAACTTAGTTTATTCACTGCACCTATACTGCACCTACACCTATAAACTGGAGCACCTGCAGAAAACCTACACCAACACGGTGAGAACATGCAAACTCCATACAGAAATGCCACTTGGTGCAACCAGGACTCAAATCAGTGCCAAAAACTAAGCCACCGTGCCACCTTGTTGAGAAACAGCTTTCTGACTGCAATGACTGCCCATGTTCTCCATAATCTATTTTTCACAACCTTACAAGTCCATAAGTCAAAGACGTGAAAACAGAAATAATCCCCCATTCAATGATCCAGTTCTTTTAGTAGAGTCTTAAATAAAGCCCCACATTGCATAACAACACAAAGCAAAGTGTCTTGCTCAGATCAAACTTCACCTCAGTGGGATAAAGGATGATCTTATCCAGTTAAGCCAGAGAGATAAGGTGGCTTTGCTAACCTCTAATCATAGTGGGTGCCATAGATCTGAGCCAAAGTTCCTTTCAAGGAAAGTCTGTTCACTTGGTGGTCATACTGCAATGCCTCCATGCAGTTCATCCAATAGCAAAGTCCAATATAAATGAATGGGGGAATCCTGAAATCTTGCTGAACTCATTATTAAATTTAGTATTTTAAAACAAACCAAAAAAATCTAAAGTGACCTATTCTATTATTGTTGTTGCTTAAGTCTCACTCATATTTAAAACATGTCATTTTCAGTTTTCTCCATCTACTGTGCATCCAAAAAGAGTTTCTTTATGATGGTTTCAAGGGTAACAAGACGATGTGATTAGAAATACTGAAAGGACAGAGACAAAACCTAGAGTGAAAGTTGCAGGATGACATCAAAAGGAAACAATGGGCTCTATTTTGACGATCCACGTGCAAAGCGCAGAGCGCAGGGCACAAACGCTTTCAGGGCGTGTCAGAATCCATTTTTGCTAATATAAGGTTGGAAAAGTTTGCTTACACCATGGCGCATGGTCTAAAGGGGGTTGAGTTTATTTTCTTAATGAGTTATAGGTGTGTTTTGAGAATAAACCAATCAGAGTCTCATCTCCCATTCCCTTTAAGAGCCAGTTGTGTCGCGCCATAAGTGCATTTGCTATTTACATGACGTAAAGTAAGTATAGGTGGAAAAACAGAGCATCTACTGCGCAAGAATGAGAGATAAGGCATCTCATAATCTAGTTTTACTTTCGCTCTCGTGGATAGGGAAACCTTGTATGCACAGACATCAATTAGCCTATAAATAAATAATTTCATCTTTTAAGTGCAAATAATTGTTTCAAAACTGTTTCTAAATTCAGTTCTAATTTCCAGCAAACGAATAAATGAACAATAATAACAAAGTGTGTTTAAAAACCTGAGTTATATCCTTATACACATGCTGTGCCCCATATGGTCTAAAACCTGACAGGTGGACAAATCTAAGCTTGTTTTCAATAAAACAAATATAAATATAAATATGCATATAATGAATAATACTGCGAATAATGATAACATTACAAAAGCAAATTGAATGAACTGAAAAAGCCTCCCGATATGAAGAAAATATGAAGGCAGTGGTTTTTAAATTCATGTCGGCTAGAAAATAATATGTTTTGTAATATTTAAATCTTTTATATTTATATCCTATCACACTTCGTTATTATTGTTCATTTATTCGTTTGCTGGAAATTAGAACTGAATTTAGAAACAGTTTTGAAACAATTCTTTGCACTTAACAAACGAAATTAATTATTTATAGGCTAATTGATGTCTGTGCATACAAGGTTTCCCTATCCACGAGAGCGAAAGTGAAACTAGATTATGAGATGCCTTATCTCTCATTCTTGCGCAGTATCCTATAATAATATCTTTTTTATAGGTAAAGATATTTGCGTATTGCTCTACATCTTGTGTGTATTAAACAGTGTGTAAGCCAGGCGCACTCTGCGCCAGACAATAGACTGGCTTTGTTCTGGTCTAAAGAACAGACTATTATAGTTTCTCAAAATAGCAACGTGCCTATAAATAGAACGCCTATAGGTGCACATATGAGCGCAAATGCATTTGCTATTTAAACAACGTGGCACAACACTTCAAAACAACTCTTGCGCCGAGCTGAAAGTACCAAATAAAAATTGCTTCATGCTTTGCGCCACATTGCACCGGTTGTATGATAGGGCTTAATATGTTTTGGGATGTGCTGTGATGTCTTTTCTCCTGTCAAAATCAACACAGGCATTAGGTAGTTGCCAAATGACAATGCTTCCCATAACAAACAAGCAAATGTGTACAGGCCCCTACCCCACAGAATCACTGGCTATTCTGACCCAAAAAGGGACTTCCTTCGATGTGGCATCCATAGTGAACATCACATTTTCCCAATTCATAGTAATGTGAGTGAACTGTCTTCGTACTGTATATCTGTCTTTGCCTGAGCTTATCCCAAGAGTCAGGTACCGCATGGCAAGGCTAAAAGTAAAATTTACAAACTTACTCTGACAGTTCTGAAACTAGCAGCATCATCCAGTCCATTGACAGTGGCTGAATCCAGGCTAAGGTAGTTATATTTGCTGAAGTCCCGGTCCAGCTTCAGTTTTTCTGAAATACAATTACAAGTAGAGTTTAACAGTAACAATAAGACAAGGGTAACACTTTAGTTTAAGTCACAATTCAGACTATTAACTTCTGGCATATTGCCTGCCTATTACTAAAGTGTCCCTATTATGCATTATAAAAGATCATAGTTGGGTTTGGGAAGTCCCCAACAACAGGCCGATATGCATGCAGTTCAAAACTTGAACATGAAAGTTCAAAAACACTTTCATTGTCTTATAATAGGCATTTATTTTTTACTTAATTATCTCCAAAACTCTTATATGATTTGTTCAATAGTTTATTTTACAAAACCCCTCCTTTCTGTGATGCTAATTTATGGTAATGGTCTGATGACCTCCCGAGTCGTGATTGGTCTACTGAATGCAGGGTGAGTTGAAAAAGAAACACCCATCACAACTTATCAAGATATTAAGCAAAAAGCACTTGAAGCTCAAGCAGCATAGGTACAGAATATATGTCTAATCCCATTACAAGAACGTATTAATAAAGCAATGCAGTTAAACCAGAATATTGCTCTATTCTTAACCATATTTCTAATTAATAACAATGTAACAGCATCAATTGATACAGCTACAAAAATGTAACTATTTTGAACATTGAGTGCGGTGTGTGCAAGTTCATTGGAGTTGTGTTCTGATTGGCCATGCTCAAACCATTTAATTGAAATGAACGCTAAACCAGTGCTTTCCACATCCAGTGTGTAAGAACAGCTGATGACGATATAGCAATGACAGATACCACAGGACTGTGAGCTCAGAAGTAATTAAATTGGTAAAGGAAGAAAGCGGCACACATTGGTTTTCCATACAGTTTTAGACACAATATGTGAATGGCCCATAACCAGTCAGAGAGATAAAATCAATGCAGAGCAAACACAACACAGATAAATCCATATTTTGCAAACTACACAGAACAAGGACGCAATCATTTTAATCACACTTAGAGGTTGAATATTTCACTATTGGATACTAATCACTATTAGAGGTTGAATAAGAAGAAACTGTGTACTGACAAAGTTCCTGTCACAGTCTGACATAAGCCCCTTTCACACATACTGTACAAGAAATTACAGACAATTTTCCGGAAAGGTCTGTATGTGTCAACAGCCCCTTTTTGAAAATCCCAGTAAATTCATTCCTGCAATTTGTTCGAAAAGAGAAGTTGTAACATTATTGGATGTGTAAATGGCCTTTTCGGAAAAATTCCGTAACATCCTTGCAAATGTTACCGAATATACCGGTATCACTGTGTGAAAGGGGCTATAGAACCAGATGTTGATAGTATACTGATATTCATCAGTTTCATTATGATATTCATTATTTACCAATTAGAAGTTAAATTTTATAATTCAAAGGGGTACAAATAAACTATAGATGAACAATCTCAGGTTCTCAGGTATGCTAGAGTCCAACCTTAAAATTTTTCACATTCTAAAAACTGTGACTGGTATAGACATGTAAATAATAATACAAATATATAAATATAAATAAATAAATAAATAAATAAATCAATATGTAAGTGGCCTCTTACTAAGCATGTCATCTGATGCACCAGAAAGCAGCTGGTAAAAGATGTGGAAATTCCTTTCCCCCCTAGGCTGCTTTACCACACGGGATTTCTCCAAGAGATCTGTGAAAATGAAATATCAAAGCACAAAGTATTTCATGAACACCCACAGCTGACTCAGTTTAACAAAGGACAAGAGACTCTTTCTTTCCTTCCACAGAAACTGTGCTACTACTGTAGCTACAGATAATTATCTTCAGTCACTTTAGAGACAACAAAGATGCTTTCCTGTTTACATTAGAATGAGTATTTAGGTATCTATGGTGAAGATTTCATTGTCTATTGTATTCAAATTGAGACAGGAAGTCTGACAAGGGATATTTATCTGTGGAGAGAGGCATGTCACAATAGCCATACTTTATAGAGAGGTGTGTCCAGTAGAAAATAGCAACATTAGCCTTAAGTGTTTTTTATAACAATCTAAAAAAATTATAAAATCAATGTTGCTTCAGATCAACAATGAATACTAGCTAAATAAAACACTTACATATGAGCATTATTTTTAGTGAGCCAAATAACAAGTAGACAATGGTAAATACAGGCATTACAAGGTCTGAAATGTTTTCAGCTTGTCCACATTCTATCACTTTTAAAGGTAGTTGGAAAAACACTTGATTGCATGGGATTTTAAGTGAGAACTCATGTAAAAATCACAAAAGACACAGAATACCCTTCTAACATAAGGTTGTTATATGTTGTGAGATGCACCACAACCTAGTGTTTGTACTCACAACAAAACACATGGATAACACTTTCATTTGCTTTGAGGGATCATTGGTCTAAAAAAAATGAGGACATATGTAGTCACAAGAGACACGTTTGAACACATTAACAGCAGGCAGACTAATAACCTATCTCCAATGATCACTTGTGACTGAATCACTGAGACCACATGGTAATATCAGGTTAAAACAGGGCCTACCCATGGCTTTTTAGCAGGACTTGACATGAACTTTTTGGATCACCATATTTTCATATTCGTATTATTTTAATAAGTAATTCTAAAATTACTTAATTTAGGTTTTTTGTTATGTCCACATGACTCTTTATTCATGTAATTTTTTTCGTTGTGTAAGACCTTGCTCAATATGCATGAGCAAATTGGTTGTTTCTTGCAATTAGTTTTTATTTCACATACTGAAAAATGAATAAAATAATATAGTTAAATAAATATTTTAATAATGAAATGATGATCACGCACACGGTTCTCATTAGGCCCATTAATAATCTGTTCAAAGAATGTAAAGCGAAAGATTTTTTTAATCTCAAGCTTTTAAAAGCAGCAGGACTGTGGGTGCACGAGCATCGTCCAATCTATTTTAAAGAGAACTGATCGCACCATTTGCATTTCCTGGCACAGTTGCTTCATGCAAGAAAATGGGAGCGCACAAGCTTTTTAAACACTCGCATACATCACATCACCTGTGCACATGATATCGACAGTGAGTGAGATCTCACAGCACCCGTGACCTCTCATTTGGTATTCAACTGCTTTCTTTCCGTCTCATGAACAGTCGTGCTGCTTCTTGATTCTAAGATCACATTTGCATGCATATTGGGCCATAATTATTGTTGAACCCTGCGTTCAAGAAATTACGATTTAAAAATGAATTTCAACCAGCCTAAGTGGCTAGTCGGAGTGGCTATCTAACCTGTCACAGCTGAAATCCACCCGCACTTGGTGGGTGCTAATGTCAAGCCCTGCTCCTTAGGTATTTGGATAATATAAAACAAGAATGCAATGAGCAGATGGTACCTTGTTTATCTGCTTTATGTCACGGCATTGGGTTAGTTTCAAGATTCCCTTTTGTAGAATCTACCTCATCTACTTCTTTTACTTCCCCTATTCCATTTAATGTCCAGAGATAAATCACATAGTATTGTGTAAGCATCTAAGGAATGCAGGAACATTTCATCCCTGAGGGGACAGCATTCTGACCTTTCACCTTCTGTACACTCACAGACATTTGTTATTATTTTAACACAAATGTACTAATGGCCAGTTACTGAAAAAAATAAATAAAAAAAATGCTTAAATCTACTGCATGCCTTATGCCTCGTGACTGATCCCTTTTTAGCAATTAAATGACATTTAAGTATAACCAAGTTACATTAAGCATTTATTGTAAAAAAAAAAAAAAAACTTAAAAACTTTATCTTCAAAGATGTTATTTCATTTGCATTTATGACAATTATAAACAAACGAGTAATAATTACACCTCTAGTGGGATTTTAAAATTTTAATTGTAGTAAGATCATAGGAATGTTAGATGAAATCAAATTAGGAATTCTGTATAAAGTGTGGAGAAAATAATAGAAAAAAGTAATATTTCACTAATTTAATGTGCCTTTCACTGTTTATGTTGGTGGAGTCAAAATAAAAAATATCTAGAATCAGGTGAAGGTTTTGCTGTCCTTAAAAAAAAAACACACACTGTGCTATGCAAGCAGAGGCGTTGCAAGATATGGGTTAAAGTATCCCTTGGTCTTGAGTAAAGTCAGTCCTGCTGTTCTAAAATTCTCAATTTAAGAAGTGTCATTAGGGTGTCATAAATGTGTTATGAAACACCTTCATGTAATAGAGTAAGATAGCAAAATCACCACTAGTTGCCACACTTTACAGTGTTGCTTTATGATGTGACACTAAAACGTGACAATAGTACTTAATGAGGTGAATAGCTGGCAATATCAGCATGATGAGTGTGAGGGCTAAATTAGTATAGTATAGTATAGTATAGTATAGTATAGTATAGTATAGTAAGGTATACAGTTGAAGTCAGAATTATTTTTCCCCCTGAATTATTATTTTTTTTGCCACTTTGCCATGATGACAGTAAATAATATTTTACTAAATATTTTTCAAGACACTTTTATACAGCTTAAAGTGACATTTAAAAGTTTAACTAGGTTAATTAGGTTAACTAGGCAGATTAGGGTAATTAGGCAAGTTATTGTATAATGATGGTTTGTTCTATAGACTATTGAGAAAAAAAATAGCTTAAAGAGGCTAATAATTTTGACTTTAATTTTATTATTATTTTTTAATTAAAAACTTCTTTTATTCTAGCCGAAATATTTAAAATAAGACTTTCTCCGGGAGGAAAAATATTATCAGACATACTGTAAACATTTCCTTGCTCTGTTAAATATTGTTTGGGAAATATTTAATAAAGAAAAAAAAATCAACTGTAGTATAGTATAGTATAGTATAGTATAGTATAGTATAGTATAGCATAGCATAGTATAGTATAGTATGGTAAGGTATAACTTACTTCTCTATAGAAATACAACGATTAACCGGTTTTACTACCAACTACGCTTTATTTCGTCACGGCTAATTAATCGTAAAGGCTCTCAACACCAGGTTTCTGCACAAAACAAAACTGCAGCAACTAAAAGTTATGACAGCTGTGCGCTAGCTTGTATGCCGAGACTAATAACCATTCAAATTGGATTAACTATGACTGAGGCTATTAACTAAGGCAAGCTTGTGCAAGTTAATTTTTTCCAACTAAAACCGTTAAACAGTGATTATTTTTCAGACTGTAATCATACAACCAAAATCTATAATCGTTGCATCCCTACTCTACCACAACTTTTTTTTATAAACACAAATGTTTTTTATATAAAAGAAATGAAAATGTGGTGCTAACTGAGGCTTAATACATTTGATATTAGACATAAGAAAAGATAAGATTTTACAAAAATAGTTTCATTTATAAAAATTACCAAAGTATATATGTTAACAAGTAACTATTAGAGCCACAGTCATCTTAAACTACTGAAAAAAAAAGCTAAATTAACATTTTTTAAACTTTCTCTTTTTGCTTTCCAGGCAAAAATAAAAATTATATGAGCCTTAAACCACATGAGGGTGAGTTAATAATTATAGATTTGGGGTGAAATGTTCCTTTATTACTTCCTGGGCAGTGTTACTCCTTTAAGTCTACTTTGTAATTATACTCACAATTACTGATGACTCCACCAAGGGGGTCTCCTTTGAAGTCAAACTCAATATCCATGTACTTCCCCTACAGAAAGAGAAGAAATTGTTAGCACGTCCCATATAAAGTGCACAGTGGGTTACTTGATGATCCTTCATTTTTTAACATGGCCTTCTTGTGCAGTCAAAACAAGATATTACTAAGAAGCTAAGGTCTAAGAAGCGTGTCACTCCCCTATGATGACATTGCTTCAAGGCCTTTATTACTAATTTCAGGCTTGCTGTGGGGAACCACGTGGCTCTTTTGTGGTTCCTGATGGTAGGAAAAGATTCAAGACAGAGAGGGCTGTGATCACTGGAAATAGGGCTGAAATCTGAGCCTTCTGTGGAGCAGATGGGAGGAAAAAAAGACTTTCCCTCTTAGTGCAGTCTATTCTCTTTGTTCAGGCCTGTTCATAACACACGCTGCCAGTCATACATAGATTTGCAATGGAGTAATGGACTACTGTGGGAGAACCTTTTTTTATTTGGTGCCGTAACAGTAAATGTTTTTTTTTTTTCACCTTTCTTTCCCTTCTTTATTTGTATCCCACAACTATTCAAAAGAATGCTGTCTCAAAGGTTAAGGAATAAAATCACAATGAAGTAATTAAAAGCTAAAAAATCCTTTAAGAAAAGATTTGAACTACTTTTACTTGATATTGACTATGTATTTAGGGTCAGACAAAAAAAGTTGTAAATATTAACTTCCTTTAAATTAATACAGTAAAAAAGAGGTTAAAGCTTTAAAATAACTAACAATTTATTGACCTTATTCTTCAATGCGGAAGTGCAATCGTTTTAGCGGTTGTTTTAGAACTTTTGATTCAGTTGCCTTTGGGAGAAATCAGTTTGCAACGTCAAGCAGCAAAACAAGCTGTTTTTAACGTCTAAAAATTATGAGAAGTGAATGAGACGGGAAGTCTCGAGCCAAAAAAAAATCAATGGCTACACCCGCTCATACGCGAAGATAAAGGTGAATAACCTTTATTTATAGAACCTTCATTTATTTATTAACATGAACAATCATTAAACATTGCATTTTTTTCCTTGATTGGAGATGGTGGAGCTGCTCTTTGGTAGATTGGCTTTCAGCAGTGACCTTCGTCTTACACAAAATCAAATTAAAACTGAACTTTAACAATGAGCTTTATATTGTAAAGATGTACAAAAGTGCAATGTAAATTGAGATGTAATTTACATAGTAAAAACATAGAAATGAAGATGAATTCAATTGAATTGTTTTAAAAATTCCTTAGTAAACATTGAACTATCATCAATGAATTGACCACATATCGGTCTTTGTCAGGTGATGTCCCCCTTGTAAACACCGTATTGCATTAAGAGACATAGCCGCCATTTATGTTGTATCGGAGTTAACATGAGCTGTTATGTGGTTTTAGCATCTTTCACAGATTAAATACAGCAATAAGGGCTGTAATAGCAAATCCCACGATTGAAAAGGTAAAAGAATTATCACAATGACAGATATTTTAAATTTTCCACTCGGAAGAAAGGATATTGACAGACTATAGCGGTAATAACAGATGCATCAGGTGTCCTGGCCTGCTGTGTTGAGACGCGAAATATATCTTTTGCCGGCATATCTCCGTTTATGCTTTCGACATTTTCACAAAGGTAAGTACATAAGAATATTTAAGTAACTTTACAATTGTCATTGCTTGAGCTTCAAATACTTATTTTAATTCAATGTAACAATTTAGTTTTGGGGGTAGAACTGCATTTAAATCTTAAAGTAGTGTATATAGATTTAAGATAGTAAAGTAATTCATTGTTAAAATATTGTAAAATATTTTTTTAATCTTAGTTCAACTTGCATATGTTGATTTACTTAACCCCTGTGAAATAGTACATTTTCTACTGTCCTTTTTCTAAAAACAAATATAGGTTTTTGTTGATAACATTTTATTAAATATTTTAAATCTCCAGACTGTAGCTTCATAAAACTGCAGTTAAAAAAAACTGTTCTTTTCCACAGTAGAAAAAAAATATAAATATATTGGATAACAGAGAGATGAGTAAATTTTCAGTAAATGTTCTTTCTGTGAGTTAACGTTGTCTTTGCCAGCCTGCAACCTGCATATGAGATGATGGAGACCCAGACTGAGCACCTCTACATCACTACATCTGGGCCAAACAGAAATACACAGACAGACACTGCACACTCTGCAAGACAAACTAAGAGAGGGAAAGAAAACCAACATTGCAGTTGTGGACAAACAACATGCAGAGAAAGAGACACATGAGGTTGAAGATGGTGAGAGACACTGATGAGGAGACACACAATACTAAGGAGGTAGCCGAGACAAACTGAGTGTAAATTGTGTATGGACAGATGTGTAGAAGTAAACCGCCTGTTGGAGGAGAACTGACAGCTGCTGTGTGAACTTGAAGAATATAGAATGTCTGATGAATTTTGTAACAAGAATGACGCTCAAGTACCAAACAGTAAAAAAAAAAAAATTAAATAAAATAAATAAATAAATAATCTTAATAACAAGCACTGACCCATCAACATGATACTCCCTTGTTTGGGAGAAGATGTCACATTACAGCATAGGATTGTAACTGTCTGTTGTGCATAAACAAACCAATGTCCAACGGTAGTGTAGAAGAGCTGTAGTTGTCAATATTCTGTGTTTAATTTATATTCTTTGCAAATTCCTTTACATTTTTCTAACTTTGTTTTTTTTCACTGTGTGTATGAGTGTGTTTTGCTGATGTTTAATTCTGTCTTATGTAAACAACACGATGCATTCCGCCAGAAAAGACTTTTCCGTCAGTGCCTGAATAAAAATATTATTTGTATAAATGTAAATAAATGGAGGATGACTTAAAATTTGTTGTTAACTTATTTATTATGTTCTTAAAAAAAAAAAAAAAAAACTGGTATATCAGAACCAAACACAAGGTAAGCAGTTTTATCTGTATTTGTGTTCTTAATAAGATCTAAGATCTATATATGTGGGTGTATTTATTTAATTTAATTTTTTTGTTCCCCTATGCACTCAATGTATTTGACTAAATAAAAGTGTAACAGTATTTACATTTTTTTTTGTTTTGTTGCTTTCATTACATTTATTGTTCATATTTGTAAAATACTTTGGATACAAACATCTTTCCAATAGTTAGTAAATGTAAATATTAGATGTAACTAAGGAAATAAAACAAAAAACTGTAATGCATAATAGGGCTGCTTGATTATGGGAAAAATCATAATCACGATTATTTTGGTCATAAATGTAATCACGATTATTCAAAACAATAATTTGTAGTCAAAATTATTCATCCTCCTGTGAATTTATTTTTATACATAAATATTTCCCAAATTATGTTTAACAGAGTTTTTTTTTTTAAGTATTTCCTATAATATTTTTTTTCTTCTAGAGAAAGGGTTATTTGTTTTTTTTAGCTAGAATAAAAGCAGGTTTGAATATTTTGAAACCTATTTTAATAGCTCGATATTATTAGCCCGTATAAGCAATATAGATATTTGATTGTCTGCAGAAGAAACTACTGTTATACAATGACTTGTCTATTTACCCTAATTAAGCCTTTGAATCACTTTAAGCTGAGTCACTTTAAGCTGAATACTAGTATCTTGAAAAATATCTAGTAACATATAATGTGCTGTCGTCATAACAAAGATAAAAGAAATCAATAATTAGAAATAAGTTTTTAAATATGTTATGTTTAAACTGTGCTTTAAGCATCTTCACTGTATTTTTGATTTTTATTATTGATTAATGATAAAAACAGTCGGCAGCAGCAGGTATATCACATATTGTCACTTTAAGAGTGCGGCTCTGGTTTCTCTTTCACGTGTTATTTGATTCTCAACTTGTTAGTTTATTACACAAATGAGGGTTAATATAAATAATCACTAAACACCGCGCTCTGACACAAATGTGCATGTATTTGACCGTGTGTGCTGGACTCCACTTAAAATAGCGCAAGTATTAAACATGATGTATCAGTATTCCTAAATTACATTGCAATCTTGGAGACAGAAAGTTAAAACATCAATTTATTATCAAAATTTTTAATGAAAAGACGTGTAGCAATGGGGTGACGCAAGAGGTAGTGCTGTCGCCTCACTGGCATTTCTGAATGGAGTTTTCATGTTCTCCCCGTGGTCGTGTGGGTTTCCTCCGGTTTCCCCCACAGTCTAACGACATGCAGTAGAGGTGAATTGGGTAGGCTAAATTGTTGGTAGTATATGAGTGGGAATGGATCTTTCTCAGAGATGGGTTGGAGCTGGAAGGGCATCAGCTGTGTAAAACATATGCTGGATAAGTTGGCGGTTCATTCCGCTGTGGCAACCCCAGATTAATAAAGGGACTAAGGCGAAAACAAAATGAATAAATGAATGTGTAGCAGTTCCTTAACAAATAATAATAATAAAAAATAAAAACACTGCAGTTGACTTTAAACAACGTTTAAACAAAAATCATAATACAGCCTAAATATCTTCTTAATAGAAATGTTTGATACTTGAATACAGAGTACCGAGTGAACAAAATAATCTGGAGGGACAGACAGTCTGTGGTTGTAAATTTCTGTATTTGTTTTAAAGTCAAGAGACGTTTCAATCGATCAATAAACAAAATAGCAAGATTTTCAATTTGATTTAAATGACCAATTAAATATAAAACCCCTACATAAAATTTATAACCAACCTGAAATAATAAATTAAAGCAGCTGTGCCTCAAAGCTTATCAAAATGCTCTCACAAATTAGATTTTTTTAATGTATCTAAATAGCCTATTACTTTGCTTTTAAATATTATTGAATAATGGTGTGTTAATAAGACGGCATATGCTGGACCAAAAGAAGCGAATTAGACCTGTTTTTAAATATTTAGCCTTGGTTATATTATTATTTATTTATTTTTTCAAATCCTCTTTTTAAAACTAATTTAGTTTGTTATATATTGTATCTTATTTTTAACGTATGTAATTTTTTTGTTATTTACAAAACAAACAAGAATAGCATAAAAAATCAGGTGACAAGTGTATCCAGAACTAAAAACAAAAACCACGACATGTAATGTCAGATTTTGTGAAAAAAAAAAAATAGTGGGTAATTTGATGATTATGATTAGTGTTTTTTTAATGAATTAATTTTTTTATTTGTAAAACATGCCTAGGAATAGGTTAAAAATTTGACTTGAGCATATAGCAGCAACCAATAACATCATAATTTTACCTGCAGTGCTTATGTAAGATGCTGTATTTAATTTATAATACAGCAAACCTGAAATTGAAGGCAGATCATCTTTAAAACCAAATTTGAAAAAAGGTGTTTTAAAAGTGAAAGCTAACTTTATCTCACAGCACTATTTATAATAGCCTAGAATGCTCATGGTCGCAAAATTCAAAAGCAAAAGTAAAACGCATGAGCACGCATTAAAAGCGGGTGCCTTCAGTGTTCAGTAGGCTCAACAATGAGCATTATAACTGTATGTAACCTGCATGTTACTGCTTCATTCAGGAAGATTTGAAAAAAAACAGACTCAACTCTGGGAGTCAATTCCTTTACTAAAGTCGATTACTCTATTAAGTCCATTAAGAGTCGAGGAATCGACTCTTTTAGATACAACTCCCCATCCTTAATGTTAGTAAATACATTAACTAATGGAATTTTATTGTAAAGTGTGAACAAAAAGCAAAATGATTTATTGGTAAATTGGTTAAATTTTTTATTTTTACTTTTGTTAATTAAATTGAGTTTATTGAATATTAGTAATATAATAATAATAATAATAATAATAATAATAATAATAATAATAATAATAATAATTATGACAACTGATACCATTATTTAAGCCAGCATTTAAGCCAACTTGTCTAAGCAAACAACTTGCTGTACTGAATTTAAAAACTGCTTTTGTTACAAAACATGTAACGCTGTCATAAAATGTAAAATCCGACTACTTATGAAGGTTAACATAATTAAACAATGTTTGTGTTGGGAATAGCCCCTGAAGTGATGGGAATAGCCCCTGAATAATAGTCCCTTAATATGCTGCCTAATTAGCTTACTAAGAATACAAACAAAGCCACAGAAAAAAAAACTTCATGACTAAGCATCGTAATATGAATGTTTTCATGGGGCTGATTTTTTGCAAGTGCCAAAAAGTCTCTCTCTCTTTCTGTCTGTTTGTCAGGTAATGTTTCTACTCCTCTCGGCTGTTACGGTGACATTTGTGGATCAACACAAAAGCGTGTCTGTAGAGCAAGTTTTCACTACTATGTCTATCATGGATTGGTTATGATTGTGGCGACTTAATTTCGGTACATGTCAGTGCTTGGTGAACAGAACTGATGAATACAGTTAAATGTGAACAAAATGGCCAATCACAGATGTTGAAGAACTCACTCAACAGCACTCAAAAAGCAAGCAGGACAAAATCCTGCTCTAAATGGTCTTGTTGTCTTCTGTGCTTTTAAGTTTTGTTTGACACATTCAAAAGGCGACTTGTTTAAAGTAAAAGGACTGCCATATACTTCATCAATCTTATCTTTTATACTTTTTTGCACTTGGTCAAGCCACATACCTTCTGTAAAGTTATTACAGAACAATGAAAACAATGGATCTATGCATTCTATGACACCTTTAAAACATCTCAAAACATATGCTAAACAATGCTGTATTGTCTGGTTGGTAATTGGTAATTACACATAGCTAAACATAAATATATATAGGCTGGCCAGGTCGTGATGGAGGCCAAATTATCAAAGACAGCAGCAGCAAAACATTTGCATTAACAGAGATATTTAAATATGTTCACTGCGTTCAGTTGTGCTGAATGGAAACTGCTGGAGTCTAATTCGTGGGCAACATGGGAAAAGACACAAGAGTCAAGGGCATCTGGAGTTGGTTTTCAGAGAGGTTATTCAGAGTTCTGTTTGAATCTCTCTATACACATGAACATCAATCGTACTTGCTGTATTAGAAGAGAGCCAGATGTGCTAATAGTGTAATCCACAGCAAGCAAAACACAAAGCAAAATGTAAGAGAGGCATGCAGTACAGCTTGTGGAAAGACTGAAATGTCATAAAAAAGTTTTGTACCAGACAGTGGCCTGATAGAAAGCAACAGAATCATTTGCTTGTGTTCACATCACAGACCAAAAGTCCATGTTGATTTAAACTAAAGCAAACACATGCTAGAGGGAGAACCATCAGAAGAGTCATTATATATAAATAAATAAATAAATCTATATATAAAATATAAATATATAAATATATATATAAAAAAAAAAATAATATATATATATATATATATATATATATATATATATATATATATATATATATATATATATATATATATATATATATATATATATACATACACACACACAACACACACAAGATATACTTACAAATCGAGACGAGTTGTCATTTCTCACAGTCTTGGCATTCCCAAAAGCTGCAATGAAAAAAAAAACATTGGTGAGTTTGTCATGCCTAAATCATTTAACACATTGACTGATGTCCTACACAATAAGTTGTACACATTTTAAAACAATAAAAACTATTTTTAATTTTGTGCAGTGGACATTAGTTTGAATTTACAAGCAATGCACCAAACATTTTGGATTAAAACAATAATCTTTTTTGTCTGTTTACTCACAAAATATGAAGAATAAATGTGTTTGTTTGTCTCCTTTACAGTAGTACAATTATACATCATGGAATGATGAATATCATAAGGCATGTTAAAAGAAACTAGGGATGCACCGATCCCGATATTTGGATCAGATACTGAGTCGATACCACATATTTTTGAGGGATTAGGTATCGGCCAGCCGGTACCGATCTAAATCCGATCTAGTGCGTGCGCTATATTCTGTGTAATTTATAAGCCAACAAAAGTTATAAAGCTAGGTTTTTATAAGGGCCTAGAAAGTTGTCATGTATGCCTACTTTATCCCAAATGTTCTGAAGCCATTCTACAGTTTAATGTGAAGTATACAGATGAATATTCAAGTGGTTAAATTCATGTTCACTTAAGAGCTTCCTGCCAATGCACCTGTAAATCATTCTTCATTCATTCACAATTCAAACTGTGCCAAGTTCATGACAACACAAAAACTTTCTCCAAGACTAATTGATCCTGTTATTTTAAACAATCAGAGGAGAAATGCATTTAGTTCTGCATTAAATGGGTTCATTTTGACCTGCAGCAAGAAGTTCATTGATATGGATTGTCATTAACAGAACATTATTTAGTCTAATATAGGCTATTCTAAAACTGTGAATATTTCACTGTAATTTTATTTATACCAATATTTTATTTAACAGACAAGTTTGTGTAAATCGCCTCAGAAAGATTAGTTTTATCTGCTTCAAACCTGCAGGAACATATCAGGCTTTGCTAAATAGCTGGTTATTTTGACCAATGTTTGGGGTCAATAGTGGTAGCCTAATACAGATTTTAAAAAAATAAATATCTTAATTTTAAAAAGGAAATATAAGCTGGACCACAATATATCAATGTCATAATGAATGCTCAAATAATGTAGCTTAGTTTACAGCAAGCATTATGTTTTTAGTTAGATTTTGCTGTCTGTCAAATACAGTAGGCCTATAGGTCTGTTATTTTTACTAAAGAAGATATATTATTTGAGTTTATCACCAAAACTATTTAATTGAAACTGTATAATGCTTAAAAAAAGGAACAGTTTGGAGATCGGATCTGTATCGGCCGATGCACAGAATTTTGGTATCATCAGATTGGTTCCAAAAAACTGGTATCAGTGCATCCCTAAAAGAAACCATACAACTAACTTAAATATGTTCTATGTAATAGCTAAGACTTTCAATAGTGTACCATTAGAACTCAAAATGATACTTTTGGTTAATAGACTTAGCTAAACTGTTTTTAATGTTCATGGTTTATCAGTTAATGCAGGGGTTCCCAAACTTTTCAGCCCGCGACCCCCAAAATAACAATGCCAGTGACTCGCGACCCCCAATATCCTCTGAGGTGGTTATAAATACAGAAACCTTGCATGCAATGATGCAGACACACCAATTAAATTTGTGTCAGTGCTTAAAATGTGCCAGAAAGTATAACCTGATGTTATAAAATCAAAATGCATCTGACGCTATTGCTGCCTTTAATATAATGTAATTACCCCTGGGGTCGCAATCCAATAGAACTAGTTAACATAAGCTACTTTAGTCACTATATAGTATATAGTAACTATAAACGAATATTTTTATTTTCAGTATAGTTATGGATAAAATTAGTTAATTCTTATGGTTTAATAAAAATAAATAGATTTTTGGAAATCACCAGGCGACCCCCCTTCATTGCCCGGCGACCCCTCGGGGGGTCCCGACCCCCACTTTGAGAACCACTGAGTTAATGCATAGCCCTAAAACTGAAACCATTGCCAGGGTAATGCTTACCCTTTTGAGCTTCTGTGAAATATAATAACATCAACTTAAATTTAAACTGACATGCATATCTTCAAAATACTACACTAAAATATGACTACAGTGCACAGTATGTTAGCTCTGTCTGCAAGGAATATACGAGACAACATTTGCAAAAAACAAAACTCAAGGTCTGCACATAAATACAGTGATCTACATTTTAAACTTTGAATTCCGATGTACAAATAAGTTTTACTACTAAAGGAAAGAGTGCCGAGTTTATTACAGTGTGTGAAATAGAAGAAAATTTCATGGATATTAGGTTCTTCATGAAAACACAGATCCCAATTAAAATTGCATGTTTAAATGTAACAAGCCATTAATCATGAAAATATTAAATGTACAGTAACAGCATTTCTTTTTGAACACTGTCTACTTATAGTAACCTAAAAGAGAAGTATGCAGCAGGAAATGCAGGGCCCATGGTGAGGGGCTCATTACTTCCAGCAGCTAAATTCTTACAGATGTAGGACTACACTCTGCTCTGAGTCCTGCTGCCAAAAAAAAACAAAAAAAAACTGGGCATTCCTGCTCAGTCTCAATCTCATTGTATGGGCATTTCCGCTTCATGGCCCCCAAACTAAAAAAGCAGCTGTCTAATTACCAGACATTAATTTTAGCAGTAACATTAGTTAAGACTAGGTTGGAACTATCAAGAAAAGAAAATTGTATATAACATGGTGAAATAGTAATATATGGGAAATTCTGTAATAGTCTATTACAGAACTAACTATCTTGCCACAAGAACCTGAAAGAACTATTACTGAATTTCCCATATATTACTATTTCACTATGTTATATAACATCTGATCTATTTTTTAAGATGAAGAACCATGTCTTAAGTGTAAAAAAATAAAAAATAAATAAATAAATAAAAACACACACACACACACACACAAACAAACACACACACACACAAACAAACACAAACAAACACAAACAAACACAAACACACAAACACACAAACACACACACACACACACACACACACACACACACACACACACACACACACACACACACACACACACACACACACACACACACACACACACACACACACACACACACACACAAATACTGGCACAAATAAGGACTCATGAAAGACTCACCCTCAAGCACAGGATTGGACTGAAGCAGCTGCTCTTTTACTTTGTTCACTTCCTGGCCCTTCCCACACACTGCCGCAACATATGACATCACAAACTTACTGGCCTCTGAAAGCAGACCACAGTGAAATGAAGTCAGAGATTTTCTTCCAGACGAGACCTCACCCCAAAAAAATCCCCTCTACATCATCATGTTAGGAGAGAGAGCAAACGCACCTCTTAACTAACATGAGAATCCAAACTCTCATCCAAACCAACGAAGAGACTGACTTTTTAAAATAATCTTTAACAATCCATTAAACTGTTGCTTTTGTTTATGAGATGTCAGAACAGTTCAACAATTCAATTAGGGCTGGTCGATTTTGGGAAAAATCATAAACATTATCGATTATTTTGGCCATAATTGTAATCCCGATTAATCAAAACGATTATTGGTTGAAGTGAAAATTATTAGCCCTCCTGTGAATTTTTTAAAATAATATTTTTCAGATGATGTTAACCAGAGCAAGGAATTTTTAACAGTATTTCATATAATATTTTTCTTTAGGAGAAAGGCTTATTTGCTTTATTTTGGCTAGAATAAAAATAGGTTTAAATATTTTGAAACCTATTTTAGGGTCAATATTATTAGCCCCCTTAAGCAATAAATATTTTTGATTGTCTGCAGAAGAAACTATTGTTATGCAATGACTTAAGCCTTTGAATTGCACTTTAATCTGAATGCTTGTATTTTGAAACATATCTAGTAAAATATTATGCGATGTCATCATAACAATATATAATAAGCTAAAAGAAATTAGAGTTATTAGAAAGTTATTAGAAATTAGTTATTAAAACTATTATGTTCAGAAATGGGTTGAAAAAAAGCTTCTTTCCATTAAACAGAAATTGAGGGGAAATGGGTCGCTAATAATTCAGGAGGGTTAATAATTCTGATTTTAACGGCATATATATATATATATATATATATATATATATATATATATATATATAGTTATTTTCCTCCCTGGAAAGGAAAGATAAATAAATACAATAGAATAAAAATATGAAACAAACTGTGCTGTAGGAATCTTTACGGTCAGAAAACCACTTTAGCAACAAAAGTCCTTCAGTTAAGAGTAATGAGGGATTTTCTCCTTTTATTGTTTGATTAATAATGATGAAAACAGGTGGCAGCAGGAATATTGCACGCTGTCACTTTAATGGTTTCTCTTTCACGTGTCTTTTGATTCTCAACTCGTTTGTTTAATACAAAAATGGGTTAATATGAATAATCTCTAAACACCGTGTTCTGACACCTATTTGACCATTAAAGCGCTCTCGTTAAGGTGACTTTATATGTGTGCTCTGCTCGTCTCAGTGTGCGAATGAGACCGAGTTCTGACCACATGCTTTGTGTGTGCACTCCACACACACACAGAAGCTTGCTGTCTCGTTCGCACTTTTAGAACATGAATGATTCGAATGTTCATCAACAAGCATCCCGTGCTGCGAAAGTTACATTACAGTACACGCTTTTAGTCATTTTCATGAGAAGCTGAGCTTTACAGAGCAACAAGTGTGTACAACTGGAAAGGGGGTGGTATATGATGCAATAATCCTTTATCTCGACTAATGTTTTTTCATAATTGTTAGAAGACAAAATCGAAATCGGATTTTCAATTAATTGCACAGCCCTAATTCAAATACTCTATAAGGGAATACTTTTTACGTCAATAAAAACAACAATTCAATACAAATCAATACATTTTCACAGTAAATTTAATTTAAATTCCTCTATTTTAAACAGATGTTTAAAATAAACAGATTAAATAATTGAATATTAGATGTAAGATTTATCTTGTTCTACATTTAATGGCTTTCCCATTTCTGTACTAATGAGAGCAGTGACTTAAGCACAGAAGTGCTGATATGAAATGATTTGTGAGGGAATTAAGCCCACTTATGTTTTAGAGATTTGCGGCTATTTTTAAACTGTACTAAACTCCTTATTTCATATCGCTTAAGCATGAGTCCTGAACACTGAATGAGAGCCCAATTCCATTTATTTCAGAGCTGTAGTAGACTTTCATTAATACAGAAGAGCATTTTAAAATTAATTAAATGACCTTGACTAACAGCAAATAATTTTCACCAGCCTTTCTCTGTAGTCTCTTGTATGGATTACTTTAATCCCTTTTCATCTCATTGCCTTGACTGTTGTAGATTATGATTTTGAATTGCAGCAACAGTAAATTTTCGGTTATAAATTAAAGGACTCTAGTTTTGTTCTGCTAAAAAGCTGTTGTTAAACTCATGTATGTCATTATTTTAAAGACAGATTGACAGGTATGCCTCAATTACACAAATAGTCTTAATTTAATCTACAGTGGGGAAATCATGTTTATTTATGGGAATAACATTTCTAAAGGAGCTGTTAACATAAAATTTACCCAGACTTTAGTTAAAACCCAAACAATACAAACAACGACAAAAAAAAAAATCTTACAAAACTAAATAATCTGTAATATGTGTTGTGTAATAACACTGAAATGACAATGAGAATGTACTGAACTACTGAAATTTATTTAATACTTTATATACAAGTATTTTTTTTTTTTTTTTAATGACAGTAGCTTCAACAGAGTGTCCTATAAGTCTCGTCTATCAAATCTGATCTTTATTTTGGATTTTTATTTTTGGATTTGAGAAAGGTCATAAGCTGGGCCATTCTACAGATTTTTTTTTCTCTGAAAGCATTTGAGAGTCTTGTGTCTTGGATCACTGTCTTTCTGAAATGTCCACCCTGCACCCTCAGAAATAAAGGTACAAAACCTTTCCTTTTCAAAAGGTACAATTTTGTACCTTAAATGTGCACATTGGTACCTTTAAAAGTACTTTTAGGGTACACTTTTGTATATTAAAGGTACTATGAGGTTCACATATGTACTTTTTTGGTATTAATATGTACCTTTAAGGAGCATATGTGGTCCTGTAAGGTACAAAAGTGTTCCTTTTGAAAAAGTACCAACACAATGACAGGTTTTGTACCTTTAATTCTTAGTGTGTGGTTTCATCCTGCTAATGTAGATTTTGGGTCAAAACAGCAAATGTTCAAGTCAAAAGCACCTTTAAAAAATATTTTCTGATAAAAATTATAACTATTTCAATACTTATTTCCCAGATGTTTACAACAGTACAGATGTTTAAAATAAACAGACTAAATAATTAAATATTAAATGTAAGATTTATCTTGTTCTACATTTAATGGCTTTCCCATGTCTGCACTAATGAGAGCAGTGACTTAAGCACAGAAGTGCTGATATGAAATGATTTGTGAGGGAATTAAGCCCACTGTAAATCATAACATTTTATTGCAGATTAGTCAAACAAATTATTACCATTAAATAATTAATTAATTTAGAGTCTTTAACATTCCACAAACTCTGTTTACAAAGTGCATTATACAATTAAATAGTACAGTCAAATATTTTTTACAGCTAGTATTAGAAAGCATAATGGGTACTTCATCCTTTAACCACACAGTTACTGAAATTAAGCCGAGAGACTTCAGGAATGCAGTGAGTACATAAAGAACAAATACAAATAAACAGGAACCTGGATAGTTTGAAAATTATATGAACGTTTCCACAAGCAAAATAACTAAATAATAAAATGTATTTACATATTCCAACACATTAGTATTTATAATTGGCAATTACTCTGACATTACCTGTCTTTCCTGCCCCACTCTCTCCGGTGATAAGTATACACTGGTCTTTATCTTGATGTCGCAGGGACCGGTAGGCCTCATCTGCCAGAGCATAACTGAAAAAAGACAATATTATATTAAGACAATACTGAAAGACTATTTAAAATTTAAAGTTAAATTTTATCTTAAAATAACTTTATAGAATACTGATGTTCACTATTCTGCTTACATTTAGAGTTTTCATTCATTCATTTTCTTGTCGGCCTTTATTAATCTGGGGTCGCCACAGCGGAATGGACCACCAACTTATCCAGCAAGTTTTTACGCAGCGGATGCCCTTCCAGCCGCAACCAATCTCTGGGAAACATCCACACACACATTCACACACACACTTGTACACTACGGACAATTTAGCCTACCCAATTCACCTGTACCACATGTCTTTGGACTGTGGGGGAAACCGGAGCACCCGGAGGAAACCCACGCTTAGTTAGGGAGAACATGCAAACTCCACACAGAAATGCCAACTGAGCCGAGGTTCGAACCAGCGACACAGCAAACTTCTTGCTGTCAGGCGACAGCACTACCTATTGCGCCACTGCCTCGCCTACATTTAGAGTTTTTATTAAAAAAAGTTTAAAGTGAGAATACTCTATAATACAATCTGGAAAGAGGACAGGCAGTGCATGGTTTTAAACTTGTTGCCAGAGTTGCCAGTGATGGCTGTATGCCAGCTAATCAATGTGTTTAAAACCCTGGGAAAACTAGGTCACAACTGTGCTCAAAGGGTTTAGAGTAGTGGAATTCTGCTTTAAAATACAGATAATACACTGGACACCAAGTGCAACCCAAACAAAATTGCTACTAAAATACAATACAACTAAAATGATCATACAATTAAACTTTTGAAACAGATTTATACTAATAAAACCGCATACACTAAATATTACGATAAATATCTAAAATAATTAATCTATGCAGCCAAAAATGTACTACATAGTACACATGGTGTTTGGCACAATCCAATCTAAAAAATGCACACACTGAGCTGCTTTAATACGCAAAAGATATTAGTTACAATTTAATAATTCGTTGTTTTCCCCTAATGTTCATAACTAATCAATAGCCGTTTTTTAAGAGTGAGTACACCCATAGGCTTCAATGATAGGTGTTTGGCTAAAGACACTAAACATCCCCTTGACTGACACTTTTAAGCCTGAGAAATTAGCTCTAAATACATTTATCTGAAAATAATGCTAAATTGAAACGCACTGTATTTTACTTACCAGCATCGTGCTGGTCTGTACTCTTCTGTAATCATTACTTTGGAATTTTCCAAAACCACCACTAATAGTAAGTCTGAGTGTGAGGGAAATGTTGCATGTTCCACTTCTTGAAGCATAAAAGTTCAAAGATTCATCAGGTTCACAGGGAACTACTGGTATACATACACTCCTTAAAATAGTGACGGAAGATTACACAGATACATAGGAGAGAGATAGGAGAAAATTTGCAGGCAAGGATGGCCAATTACTATTATATTTACAAATGCAGGAAGCACTGCTTAATCAAGTCACTTTTAAATCATCAACTTTATACTGATAATTCCGCATAACTCACATATATGTTATGCAAGTGTAACAAACATGAATCTGATGCTAAATTGCTGTCACACACCAAAGCAGCTGACTAGGTTTTGAAACAGAGCCTTCATTCAAATAAACTATAATTATTACCATTAACTCTCCAAACTTAACCTTTAAGTGAACAGACAAAAATACATCATCTGATGGAGATTTGGGCTCTGAGAAGTGGCCTTGAAAGACTGCGTGAGGATAAGAGAAGTTTGGGGAGCTAGAGAGGGCACGGGGCATTAAATCAACACAGAAATGTGCACAGCATAGACAGCAGATGTTTAATCTTTGTGAGATGGCCAAACTGCATGACATGATCCAAACAAAAGAAACCATAATACAATTAACCACACCCTTACAAAAGGAGGGAGCGAAAGGGTCCAACTGAAAGAAATTTGACAAAGTGGCAGATCTGGACCATCATGAGGCTTCAGGCTGTCCCAGAATACAGCACAAAGCATTTTTAATAGTGGAAGGCTGATTTGAATATGAATAGTTTTACATTTGAATATGAATAAAAAATTTTGACTTGGACAGACTAAATAAAAAAACAACAAAAAAGAAGCAAGCTCTCTACCAGTGACAAAAGGGAAAATACACGTGTGTGGTATTTGTTCCAATCCAACTTTGACCTGAAACTAAGCTTTAGTTTGCATTTAAAAGCCAGGGAATCATTAGTCTTCTTCAAACCCGGTTCACGCCCTCACTGAAGCCGCACCAAATATGGAAAGAGAGGAAATTAAGAGTAAAGCGAGAACATCTGTGGCAAAATGGCTCTGTGCAACTGTCACAAGTTTAAAACATGTCAGGGGTCAGTTTGAAAGTCTTAGCTAGAAAAAGAAACATTTTTCATCCCTCTAACTGGTGTAAGACTAGTGGTAACAGAATTAGATAATGAACTATTGACTTGAGCAGCCATATCTGACCAGATGTGAATGAGAGCTTTGATGACGAATGGAGAACAGAGTCATATCTTTTGGCACATGGCCTAGAGAAGATTGAATGATAAATTCTGCTTGCATTAAGTCTGTGGTAAGACCCAAAGCCACAACATGGGGCACATGGCAGAAAATACTATGCTCCTAAGACTATTAGTCTGGCATAAAAGCAAAAACTGATCATGAGGGCAGGAACACACAAAATACAGCATACATCAAATTTGCTGATGTAGAGAGCTGCTTTAGTTTACATAGGATTCTGTTACAACAGAAGTCTTTAACTATGCATAAAAGTAACTTAAAATGGATCCTGAAGTGCACTGGCAGCCAGTGAAGTGAAGATAAAACCAGGGTGATGTGCTCCTATTTGCATGTGCCAGTTAAAAGATGCGCAGCTGCATTCTGAACAAGTTGAAGCCGAGAAATAGAAGGCTGACTCTCCCCAAAATAAAGAGCATTGCAGTAGTCCAAGCATGAGGTTATAAAGGCATGGATTACTGTTTCAAAGTGATTTTGTGATGAAACGTGCTTAATTTTGGCCAGTGGCCTTAAGTTAAAGAAGCTAAAGCAAACAACAGACCAAATCTGGCTTTCAAGCTTTAGTTCAGGATCCATTTTAAAACCCAGGTTCACAATCTCTGGCTTACAGAAAGTTTAAAGATTATTCAGGCGTACAGAATGAGCGATGTTGGAGCTGGGGCCAAACACCATTACTTCAGTCTTAAAAATCATTAAAATGGGGAAAATTCACTGCCATCCAAGATTTAATGTCTTTTATACATGAGTCTAGTGCATTTATGGGAAGGCCATCTGTCCTTTTAAGGGTGAAATAAATTTGACAGTCATCAGCCTAACAGTGAAAGGAGATGCCATGTCTCCTGAGAATTGATTCAAAGGAAGTAGATATAAAGAGAACAATATAGGGCCCAGAATAGATCCCTGTGGAACTCCATAAACTAGTGGAGCACAGGAGGACTCACAATCGTCTAAGTGCACAGAGAAGGTTTGGCCTTTCAAATAAGACCTGAACCATTCCAAAGCCACACCTTTTATGCCAACCCAATGTACCAAGCGTGAAAGTAAGATGTCGTGATCAACAGTGTCAAATGCAGCTGTTAATTCTAAGAGTACAAGAAGAAAAAAAAAAACAGTCACCTGAATCACATGACAAAAGAGCATTTTACCAATGCATGATGTTCTAAAAAAAAAACAACAAAAATCATACATGGTGGGAAGTGGGACAGGAACAATCGCACAGCCAAATAATGAACTGTGCTGAGCACAATGGAAACCATGCAACACTGAAATAGGATATCCATATCTGCTTCTGAATGAACCACACTGGAAGTCATGTTTTCCTGCTTCTGGTAGAGTAATCATATATTACATTGAAACAAACAATTGGACTATGGAAGCCTAGCAGAAAGAAGGCTCAATGCGTGTGTATCAACCCAGGTGGCCACAAACACCTCAGCTGCTTCCTGCACAAACCTGCCTCCCGCATTACAGGTTTTAGTGTGTCCGATTCTACATCCACATGGAGAAAATGTTGCAAAGCCAGAGGAAGTAAATAACCACAGGATGTGATGTATTCCCATGTGGGAGCTTTGAAATAAGACACTGGTCCTGGATAGTTTGACTAATAAAAGTGGTGTACAATCCCCCAAATCCTTTACAGCAAAAATGACTTTGCAAATGCATACTTTGAACTCTGTGTGTTAATACATATAATATAAACCTATTATACTGTATATCTACTGGCCTCTTTACACCCACAAGTCTGTTTTTGGTTACCAAAAATGGATGACTTTAATATTTCCTTCTGTCTGCACTGACTCAGCTTTCCTGACATCTGTGTACTATATGTTCTGTCACGTGTCCTACATTGTACTTTGAGGATACTTATGCAGACTTACATTTTGGTAACTAAATTCAATTAAATTGAATTCACCTTTATTTCTATAGTGCTTTTACAATGTAGATTGTGTCAAAGCAGCTTCACACAGAAGATTATTGTAAACTGAAACAGTGTCAGTCCAGTTATAAGTGTTGAAGTTTAGTTAAGTAACTAAACATTATATAAAGATAGGCTATCGCAACATTTTTCTACTGTGTTAAACAGTTAGATTCGCATGAAAATCATAAACCAACAGCAATTTATTTATTTGTTTATTATAATTCCCTTAAACATTTCAGCTAACCCTCTGCATTTTTTTTATGTGATCATTATTTATAAAATTGATGACAACCAATTTTGGCATTAGATGTTACTCACTGAAATGCAAGCAACACCGCTTACATGTTCAGCTCAGAAGAAAGCTAAAGAAATGAAATACAAGTTGAGTCTCCTGTGCAGTATAATTATACAAAACTTTAGCTATGTTTATTAGAAACCTTACAACACATAGACAGCATTTCAAGACAATGTAAGTGTTCTCTCAATTGGAACTCTGTTTGAAAAAAGGCTTTTGGCATTGCACAGGAAAACGGATGAACTGAAATTTATTCCACTCAAAATAACAGCATTTGTGTGCTTTGGTGTCC